CCTTTGTTTCAAAAATCCCCAAGTTTTAAAAACCCTCACTTTCAGCATAACGCAAAGTGCAAACTAACCTTTCTTGTGGAAATAACTTTAATTTAGAAATGTTTAAGGTTCAGAAGATCAGCATGGGATATTTTGGGGTTTTGTTAGGAGCCCTAGGGATATTCTTGCTGGGTTTTATTTTTGCCCCCATTTGATCATACCGGTCACTTGAAATCTGAACTACATCCCCTGGGAAATCCCTGCCCCCTAGCCCTTAGTGACATCTCTGCACTTTGCAGTAAAGCTTATCAGTAGGTCCTCTGTCATTATGCAATGATGCAATTCACAGAGGTGATCTCAACTTGCATCCAATTGTGTAATCCACCAGAAATCTTATCAGTATCGAGAAAATGTACAAATTTAAACAGTGGTATAGAATACACTTACGTCAAAAAATGTTAAAACAAAGAAACTATTTCAGTTTACATGTTTAAAAATCGTCATGTTATTTAGCTTTTAATTATTTGTACCAGTCTCTCAAAATATCATCTGGCACTGAGAGTTTTTTTCGATGTAGAGCCTTTGGCCCAGCTTTGATAAAAATGCTTATTTCTGGGTCTCAAATTTTGAAACCAGAGTCTCGCAGTCTCCCCTAGTCTCAAATTTACCATTCTACAGTGTAATTACCCCTTTACATGTAAATGCTAATTAATTTTAAGGTTATATTCTGCATCTTTTTCTCAGTGGAGGAAATAGAGTCTGTCAACGCCAAATATCTAAGCTAATTCAGTTGTCAATGTACCTTCTCTGTTAAATGACAGTCTTAAAAAATTACCTTTACAAAAATTTTTTCAGATTACTCTGAATACAAAGACTTGTCCAGCCCAAGATATCCTCACCAGTCATACTTCACCAGACCCCACCCAAGAACGACAGTCACCTCATCAAGTTGATAAGTGGAGAGGCACCAGCACCTTCCAAACCTGATCTCAAGAGCATTACTCATGTTGCATTGTATTTGACAATCACCTCCAGTGAAGAAGATAATGAACCAGACCAGGTATGGCATATATGTGTATGTTGCAGGTAAAATTTGTCATTCTTAGGTTGAATCAGTATTCAAGCTAGTTTGATTCAGAATTGTCTTTGTTTCCAAGTTTTTTATAATTATACTCTTCTAAATAACATAGAAAGCACATTGAGAAAGATTAAGGTAAGCATACCCAGGTAAAAATGTGAGGCGGGATCCCGCCAATCCCACCTGGGATCCCAGGTTAATCCCAGGTGGGATCCCGCCAGAAATAGGCGGGATCCCTCCTGGGATCCTGCCCGGGATTATGGAACGTCCAGGGAGGCATCCCACCTGGGATCCCAACTAGGATCCCACCAATCCCACCTGGGATCCCACCTGAAATCCTGGGTGGGGTCCAAGAAACTATCCCACCTGGGATTTGTAAAAATCCCGCCAATCCCACCCGGGATCCCGCCTGAAATCCCGGGTGGGATCAAAGATATCCCACCTGTGATATCAGATGGGATATCCTACCTTTCCTGGCAGCATCGAATGCAGGTTGTTAAATTGATGGGATCCTGCCATCCCACCCTGTCATACACAGGAAATTGATATTTATCGTAGAGGGATTTGAAGACATATAACTTCTGCACCATATTTTTAACTTAATCTGCAAATTTATTAGGAACATAGAGTTAATATACATGTAAGTCTTGAATAAAATGCAACCTTAATAAGTCTACATATACAATATTCAGTCATTGCAGAACATTCAAATATGTGATTAAATCTTTTGGAAAAAAAAAACCAGTTGATTATACATGTATAAATGGTAGAAATATATGAAAAACAATGTTAATTTCATCAGTTTTTCTTGTTGCTGGCTTTATTTAAGTTTCTGCACTTATCAGCAATTTTTTGCTGGACACCAGTCTTTCCTCCCCAGTTCTTCTCCAACTCCTCGTCACTCCACTTGAATTGTCTTTTTAGTTGTCCTACAGATTAAAAATATTTTATTAGAATTATCATAAATAATATCCCTATAGCTAGGTATATATTTATAAGGGTATATAATTTGCATGGTTATAGAGCAAATTCCCAGGTCAGAAAATTAACATTGTCTTTGCTGTAATCTATAGTCTTTATTTTTATAGGCAACATGCATTACTGCAAGGGAATTATTACAGTTCTGTTGAAGCCAAATTTGTTATTATTTTTTTAAAATTATAGACACTACTCACAAGTAATTACAATTAAATGCAACAATTATAATTGTGGTAGGCCAGTCTGTCTGGTATTAAAAGTAGAGAAATACATTACCTTTAATGGCTGCCAGGACCATTGGGTTCAAGGGAGTTTTGCCGTTCATGCCCTTGATGTTTGAGATGCGCTGGACCTCTTTTGGAATGAGATTGTCCAAGAGGTTTGGCACTAATGCCAAGGGTGAAGAAGAATGCTTAACAATTTTGTCAAAACACTCTCTGTCTGTTTTAATGTTGTATTTCGGCTCCCCGATAGTAACTGTTAAAGAGAAAAAGATCAAATTAGATTAACACAATTTACTACAGGTGTATTGTAGTGCAGTTGAGTCTGGACAATTGGAACCCCTCAGTGGAAATTTGAAAAGTTTCAAGTTTTGGGGGTTTGAGTCATCAACGGTAAATTAAAAGCAACCAGAAGGTCTATCAAAAAAGGTTCAAGGTGCAAGTTAGTGCGTTGTGTAAGGTAAAGTCGGCATCAAGCCAAGTGGCGCATACAGCTGAAGCTTATCCTGGTTTCAGTAGCATCAAGCGACTACGAGTACTTTACTCCCCCGTGGATGGGATGTAAGTCCAGCGCAGGATTACCCCTCAACATTATTTCGCTGGTACCTAATTATACACCTGGATGGAGAATAAGAGTGAAGTGTCTTGCTCAAGAACAGAACACAATGAACCCGGCCAGGGCTCAAACCCGACCATTCAATCCAGAGTCATTACGCTAACCATTAGGCCACAGTGCCTTCCAATGTACGTTAAAAATATCATTGCATTTTACAATTATTTATTTTAGTTGGCATTTTTAATAGAAATATATTGATGTTGTATTCTACAATGGAAAACTTACCCATGTCATTCACTTCCTCTGTTGAGGATCCAGCAGTGTCTCCTGAAATTTCTTCATGCACATCATACACAGCCTTTAATTAGAGTTCAAACAGAAATTACATAGAATTGACATAGTCTTTTTTGTAGGTAGGTTTTGATCTGCTCAAGTAAATGTAGTGTTTAAAATACCCTCGTAAAAATCACCAGAATAGTAAAAATAGTATACACATATGAATAAGAATATCTTTTACATTGGTAAGAAATGGGTTTTGACACGAAAAATTGAAAGCTATAGCAATATAATACCACGAACACACAACACAAATGCAGTATTTTCATGGAGCAGTTTCATCGAAACCCCAAGTTAAAGTTTGCTTAATTTGCTTATCGTGTAGACTTTTGGCTGATGTCGTGCTCTTCAGTGCCATACACTTTTCTTTTGACTGCAACGAATAAGTATCTGCAAACAGAAAAGTTGAGATTTTAAGGCAAATGAACACAAAAACAACCTGACGTTTTAGAATTGAAACGAACGAGTATCGAAGCGTGATCGAAGGTGACCGATCCAACTTGTTCAGGCACAGGTAACCCAGGCTCTGTGATAGTACCACAGTAAGGTTCCAGTAAAATTACAGTGTTTGTATGGGGTAAAAATATCACCCTAAAATTTCTAGGAAATACTAAATAAAGATCAATGAAACTTACTCTGCAGTTAATTGCTGTTGTCCTTATTGCTCCAACGAAGTTTCGTGATAATTTGCAGTAATTTGTTCAAATTCACTCTATCTACAATAATAATATACAAGGTAGGAAACACGAGGTGCCATTTTCGCCGACATGCTCTCATTCAACACAACTTTTTCCACGAAATTCGAACTCCAACGGAAAATAAACATGCCAGGATCGTAGAAATAGGATAGCAGCAGATATAGAAACCAATGAAGCTTTCCCAGATAGAGAAACGAATCCCACAGATTTTGACAAACTCGAAGAATATAATCCAAACACACCGAGAATACGCTCGCCGAAGCAGCCGGGCCAGATCAACGCGCGGCCAAGAAAATGAGGCCTGGGCACTGTACAAAAAAATTCCATCCCGGGGGTCCTGGGGTGACCTTTCTAGGGACCGATACATCATTTGCCCAAAGCCACCCTCCCCTGCTGGAAAAATACTTGATAGAAGGCAATTGTTCTTCCAAGCCAATCACCATTTGCCAGAGCAAACCCCGCACACGCGCCTGAATTTAAATGGCTAAAAAAAAGTAATATAATCAGGAGAGTCTGCGGAGTTACAATACGTCCCATTTCTTTTACTAAGGAATGCAAATAACAGTAATGAAACTAATGAAATAACAACGCGAAATGCTTACAAGGCGGGCTAAAAACAAGGTTGAACAAAAGGTAGATGATGACTGAGATACTGTTGCTGTGAACTCTCGAGCGAAACTATCGTAAATAAACGGGGAAGCTTACAAACTAATTTCAAAAATTATACAGAAAATTGCGACAGAATATGAATTGCGATAACTGAGACGATTGTGAAAGGCACGTGCACTAGTAAACAAAGAACTAGCGCGATTAACATATTTAGCGATTAATGCGGCAGTAACATTAACATGCCGACTTCTTGTCATTACAAGTGAACGCTCTATCGGTTAAATAGGCGAATCATCGTGATACACCTCTCTTTGAATTTGGTCCTGTTGTACAAATGCCTCGGTAAGAGCCCAAATTCACTTATATCTTTTGCTCGTTTTAAGTTTTGTAAATCGTCCTTCGTTGTTCTTTCCTTTGCCCTTATAACCTTGCCCTATTGATGTTTGATAAACTTTCTGAGGACCAGCGCCAGGAGCTGAATATAGTTCGAGAGGAAAATAATCTCTTTATAACAGGCCATAGTGATTGGCTAGGAAGAACAATTGCCTTCTATCAAGTATTTTTCCAGCAGGGAAGGGTGGCCTTGGGCAAATGATGTATCGGTCCCTAGAAAGGTCACCCCAGGACCCCCGGGATGGAATTTTTTTGTACAGTACCCAGGCTTCATTTTCTTGGCCGCGCGTTGATCTGGCCCGGCTGCTTCGGCGAGCGTATTCTCGGTGTGTTTGGATTATATTCTTCGAGTTTGTCAAAGTCTGTGGGATTCGTTTCTCTATCTGAGAAAGCTTCATTGGTTTCTATATCTGCTGCTATCCTATTTCTACGATCCTGGCATGTTTATTTTCCGTTGGAGTTCGAATTTCGTGGAAAAAGTTGTGTTGAATGAGAGCATGTCGGCGAAAATGGCACCTCGTGTTTCCGACCTTGTATATTATTATTGTAGATAGAGTGAATTTGAACAAATTACTGCAAATTATCACGAAACTTCGTTGGAGCAATAAGGACAACAACAATTAACTGCAAAGTAAGTTCCATTGATCTTTATTTAGTATTTCCTAGAAATTTTAGGATGATTTTTTTACCCCATACAAACACTGTAATTTTACTGGAACCTTACTGTGGTACTATCACAGAGCCTGGGTTACCTGTGGTTCAGGTACGCAAAAAGGGGAGACAACACGGGTAAATCGAAACTCAAATTGAGAAAAACATCACTTACCAACGTTAGGAATACTTTTTGTTGAACCTGGCAGGAAAACGACTTTAAATTGAAGTAAAAAGAAGCGTCTTCTTGTAAAGACGCATGCTTTACAGTTCGTCTTCTTTGACTTGAAAGTGCCCGCGTGGAATCAGCCAATTTTCACACCTTTTCATTGGTTGAAAAGGCCCATGTGACGATAAAACGCTGAATACGCATGTGTTGAACTCACGGGCTTCCCTAGGAACTAGTGGAAACAAAATGGCTGACAAACACCGAGGACAGCAGCTAGCGTTTCGCAGTTTTGACCATGAATTTCTATTCAGGAGTCGTCCATAATCAAGACGAAGGATCGAAGCTAATATAAAAGAAGAAAATGATGCATGGAGGTATCATTTCAAGTGAAGAAACTCTAGGGAAAAGCTAGAAAGGAAAGTTAAGTCAGGAATGATGGATGTAGCGATTCATTAATGCTTTACAAAGATCTTCTCACTAAGAAACTATCCGCAAGCACAAAAAAAATTGTAGTAAATGATTTTTAAGTTTTTTAGTTTTAAACACTGCTTTTTACGTTGGAAGTATGCTTTTTGTGTGTTTGTATGAAATAAATGTTGTTTTGTTGAAAGTCATTTTTACATGTATGTACAGGACAATTTATGAACGATGGTGTCATTTTCTGCTTATAAAAAAACATTTGTAATTTAATACAATAAGTTGTCCTTTGAAATTAAATTGGGTACAGGAAGACGATAAATTCCAGCCGTATTTTTAACTCCACATGCAGAAATGTAGAATAATAAGTTAATTAGACTGCTTGCTAAGATATGTTTAACACATAATTATATATAACCTATACATGGCTGTTAAAAGTCTTCTTAATTAAGTTTGACTTAACTTTTGCAAGTATGAATAAATCTTCTAAAATACCAGGTGGGATCGTACATGTGAAATTATCCCAATGTTCCCAGGTGGGATGTATGTAAAGATCCTGGGTGACAATGTGTGATCCCAGGTGGGATATGTGAATCCCACCCAGGATCCCGGGTGGGATGTGTGGATCCCACCCAGGATCCCAGGTGGGATGTGATAATCCCGTGTTTTAGGCGGGATCCCAGGTGGGATTAATTTTTAATCCCAGGTGGGAATGGCGGGATCCCGCTAATCCCACCCGGGATCCCAGGTGGGATTAGCGGGATCCCGCCGGGATCCCGCCTGACTTTTTACCTGGGTAGTTTTTGAAATGATTAACTTTCAATGGGGTTTTAACGCCATTTTCATGGTACCATTTAGCCATTAATTTAACCCATGAAAATGTCAGAGGACAAGGCACAAAATACATTTCATGGGCCAGAAAAATGTGGTGAAAGGGTCAGAAAAGTACTCTGAGATCTTCGTGGCCCATTAAAAATTCCCCGTTAAGGGGATAATCATGACCCATGAATTTTCCATCCCATTAAATTGCCACAAATTTGTACACCATGAAAAATCTGTATATGTTTCATGGCCTTTTCCTGAACACTATGAAAATCAAAAACTTGTTGTACAGGGCGTTCTATGAAAAGATAAACAAAACATGGCTGGACCACCTTTTCTCCCTGTTGTTTGAGAAAGCTCTAAGAAAGCCTCCCGGTGCAGCAGATAAAGATGGCCAAAATGTTACTTTACCAGATATTTTTCCTGGTGTCCAGTGGCTGAATCTACCTTTAACTACGGAGGTAAGCTTGTGGCTGAGCACCCACTGAGTTACTAAATGAAAGCATATTGTTCAATTATTTGGGTCAGCCTGTCCTCATGAGTTATAATAACATTTCTTGTTTCTTATGAAAATTATCTACTTTAAAAAGGAAAGAGCACACTGTTAATGTTAACAGTGGAAGAGAACGGTTCTTGAATTCATATTGAGTGTTTAATTGTTATCTTTTTTTTTTTACTGATATACATGTAGAGTATGTATCATGCTGACAGCGCTGTGCTCTAGCATCACTCAAGGCCCCTGGCACCTTATTTTTTATCTTGGGCAACTAGGAATTCTTAGTTTTTGTATAGAAATCATATGCTGGACACCCTAGATTTCTCCCTAGAATGTTTCTCAGCACACTGCATTCTTTAACAATGCTGTCAGTTCATAGCAGTCCTTTTAATATATTTTGTTTGTATGCTGTATTTAGGTGGATGTTCATTGCTGCCTCAGTGAATTGGAAGCAGCTGATTATGGAGAATTTGTAAGTCGGTTTTATCCCAATAAGTGATTCCTTCAAGTGTTCCATCCTTTAAAAAACCTAAACAATTCTAAGGTGTAAACCTCAACCCAAGTGATTGCACTTGATCCAATGAGAACAACAAGAACGAGTTAAAGCCAACTTACATTTTGAGGGGTTCTGTAGTTTGTCTTTACAGCTACATTTTTTTCTTTCATTTCCCTTCAGGCAGATGACTATTTTCAAATTAGAAGATTATATACAATTTTAGGATCTAGCATATTTTATAAGGTATGGATTAATAATTTTTGTCAGGCATTCTGTGAATCTGTTTCTATTGCCCATATAAAACTCTTATGCATTTTGAATTTGTAGTAGAATGTAGCAACACTAAGTGGGGCGCTTGAGTTTGTGAATGTCGGCAGCAAAAATTTGTCCTCTTGATACAAGAGCTGGTTTCCATGATTAAAATCAACTAAAAGCATTATAATTTGTTTGAGTATATTTTTTATAAATTTCCCATTACCACTTTGCAGGGATATTTAGTTGCTAATCATTTACCAAGAGAAGATTTAGAAGATGTTGTATTATATTGTAAATATCACTGTTTACTGGCCATGAGTGCAGAGCAGCGTGTTGGACAGCTTGTTATCTGGAGGGAGGTAGGTTGTTTCATTTTCATTTTTATTTTTATTGATTTATTTATTGATTGATTTGTCTTTTTCTTTTCTTTTTTTTTTTCATCTGTGCTCAATTAAGCTAAATTACCGGCTTTTTAAATATATATTATTGATTCAAGGTGTAGTCTAACCGTATTACTTGGCTCCATTCACAGTCACCCCATGGTATGGTCTTGTCAGATTTCGTTAGTCACTGTAAACAGAACCTTTTTAAAAGTGGCCACTCGTCCCTTACCTAAGGGTGGTTGCTTGGTAGGGTCCAACTGTGTATGCTTAGTTTTCACCCTACACATTTTCATGTAGGTACAAAAGCAAGAAGATCAAAACCTCGTTCCAAGGTTCTCTGTCCTACCGGACCGGTAGGAGAGAACCCTGAGAACAAACTTGAGAAGATCACTCTGTTTTCTCACTAGGGCTCAAACCTAAGTCCTGTCTGGTTGTCTGGGACAGGTAGCTTTTCTTACTGGGCAACAAAACTTTTAATTTGCTCACTTGCCTGACGGGCATGGATCCAGGCAAGTCATTCCCTAACAAAATCATAAGCTAAGACAAGCAAGCAGCTGCCCTTGGCAAACAAACGTGAGTGCTTGCCCTAAGGACGCAGTGCTAGAATTCAAGTTTTGTGGTTGTTGTTTTTCGAGCACTGTTCACATTACTTGAAAATAAATTGTCTCCAGGTTTTTCCAACAAGAAGAAGTTCTAAGAGCAGAAGAGAAGAGGACAAAGAGTATCGTGAACCTTCAGCAAGATATTTCTTGCTCATAGTAGGAATGGTAAGACATGCCTATAGTGATTTATGTAGTATTGGTTTAAGAAAAGAGGGAAAAGGGAGGGTGGTGGTATACAGGGGGAGTTTTCAGGCTAAGAGATAACATGTGGGAACATTTGCAAGAGTACTGACAATTTACAGGTGGTGTCTTCGTTAAATACCAGCTAAGGGTGCTGTTATAAGAATTTGGCTACTATTGTTGTGTGGATTTCTTGTTTTTCACTTTAGTGATTGTGAGAATTGTGTTAAACTGACGCCTGCTTCAGCAATCTGATGCCTACTGATTCTGAGATTTACTGAAGCATCTCTCAACCCCACTCCCATGCAAACAGACCTGCCTAAGTGTACAAAAATAAATGTATATAGAAGTATTGCTTTGTAGCCCTGACCTAAAGTAAAGGGACTTTTTATCTATTATATTATTTCTATTCTTATCGCAGTAACAAAGTTAAATATAGAGAAAACCACATTAATTTTGTTAGATTAGTATTATTCATGAATAAACTACTACATTTTTTTGTTTAGAAACATTGGCTTATGTGTGTCCTTTTAGAGGCGGGAGGTATCTCAAAACGGTAAGCATACTGAGGAAGTTACATGTATTGAATGGCAAGTAACTTTACTACATGTATCATAAATTTGTCTTTAGTGTTTTCCAGACAAATATTTTATGCATTTTGAGAGACCCCTGTCCAGAGGCACTTGGTCATTAGACCGTTACATGTATACTTTTTATTCAACTTTTACACATTTTACCATTACACCAGTTTCGTATATATTTATAGCGCCACGTGGAATATTTCCTCATCCCTGTTGATGCCGCTGATCGGCAAAAGCTTGGATTTTTATTTTTTAAAACGGACAGTAGTTTAAGGCCTCATATGAACATTTCAGTTTTTTTATTTTGTCTTTAGTGTTACGCTCGAAGCCTTACACTTGACGTCGTGTACTTTCACACTGAGCTATAACTCTGTCACATTGTAAATAAATTATGGTGAAATTTACATACATTTCATTCCTTTTGTTGTTTTTATATTATGTTATATTTATATTTATTTATTATGAAGGGCTGAGGGCCACCCTCCACCGAATACTTACTATGTGGATCAAGTCAAAAATACCTGGCATCAAATTGAATCCATGGACATTCCTTCTGTTTGTGAAGCAAGGTACAGTGCATAATTAGTAAACGTAGATACAGTTTTTATGTTTTATGTAAAGAATTTACAGTGATAAAAACGTTAGGTTTAATTGTCAGAGCAGATATTTTCAGTTAAGTTGTAAAGTGGAAAAACTTTCGTGAAGCCTCCAATTGTAATATCTTTCAGCCAACTCATGGTCGTGCTCGCTGTTTAAGTTAGTGACAGACTTAAGCTAATTATAATTAACTAAAAATTCAATGTGGAAAACCGAACATTTCAAAACGATTTTCACAGCGATGTGCCTTCAAGCACACAGCGTTCAAATCGTGATCAGACTAGTTGAATATTAGTGTGCTCCTTTGCACCTTTTCCTGTTTTTGTATTCATGTATATTTTATCTGTAGTATACATGTAGTATAAAAATTTACAAGGCTCATTCATGCCCCTTACTACACACCAGTCATGCAATGCCTTTGAGTGGTATACCGTGAAATATCGTGCGTTCTGGTAGCCCAAGAAAACTGCATGTAAGGAGTTAAATACAACGCACGAAATCATAATTCAACTCGGATATACAGCCCTTTGCCCGTTTCTTCATTCGTGGCATGGAGTGCTAACCTTAGGATTTGACGGAACATGTACTAGGATTACTTGCTATATCTTCGCAAGTTATTCCTTACCTATTACTTTGTTGTACATATACTACTATTTTTCTTCAGTTTACGGAGCCCTCGCAATCCTCCACTGGCCTCAGCTGACGCCCTGCTTATGAGTCCCCCAACGACAATGCTACAGAAGTCGTCTTCAAGCTTTGGTGGCTCCGACACTCTCACCTCACAGAAAAAGCACGGCAGTTTAGATAACTTGAGACTACAAGGTACTTGTACTCTTATTTAGTGACGTTCGCTAAACAGTTAGAAGTTTGTTAGTGAACTAATCCGCTAAGGCATTAGAGAGTCATCAATCACTCAATAAGTTTGTTTGAATTTTTCGCAAGGCAGCAGTCAGTTGTTCAGTTTGTTTTCCAGTCCAGTCAATGTTAGCCAGTCCCTTAGCCAGGTAGCCATTAAGCCAGTTATTGAGTCGGTAAGTTAGCCGATCACTCTGCAAAACGATCACTCAGTCAGTCAGTCACAGAAGTATAACACTCACATCAGTGGGTCGGTCAAGTTAAAAAGGTTAATTGTCCACCTTATTTAAAGAGATTTGAAAGCTTCAATTGATAGCTCTTTGCCAGTCAATCGATCATTCTGTTTGCAACCACCCGTTCAGTCAAGGACTGAGCCAAACAGTCAGTCATTCAATCAATTAATCAGTTAGTCAGATAATTGAAAGTCCAACCAGAGACTGATTTGTGGTTATTTAAAACAGTGTTACACCAGATCAAATAAGCTCCTTGTCTTCTCACATTACCGCTTTTCAGATGAAGTAGATTCTAATGATAGTGGGAGTATACCCTCGGTTATTCGCCGCACAGGGTCCGATAGTTCTGGAAGTCTGGGCAGCTTTGGAGCCAAAGGCAAACTGAGATCGTTGCGGTCCCAGTTCTCTCTCAACTCTGCAGGAACGTTCAGAAAGAGTTTGCCTGAAAATATGCCGGACTTGTCTCAGGTGGTCACAGGAAAGTAAGTATAACCGTCAAAGTGAGCATGTTAAGGACCTTAAGGCAGATGAAAACGTCGCTGAAAAATTGATTTCAAACTTTTTCGCTATTATTCCATGTCATCCAGTTACTTAAAAGTACAGTGGAACCCCGCCTTACGACCACCCCGTTTATAAGACCACCTCGTTATTACGGCCATTTTCTTTCAAACCAAACGTAAAACCATTGAGTCATTTTATTATTTTGAGGACCCCGTTAATGCGACCACCTCGTTATTACGACCAGGATTTTATGGCCCAACGGTGGTCGCATTAACGGGGTTCCACTGTAGAGAAATTATAAAGTTGGAACTGAGGAGAGCCGAGAGGGGACCGCGTCCGAGTACAGAGACAGTAACATTTATCGCCTTTGTCGTTACTTTTTTCAAGTCAATGAAGTTAGTTTTCGTTAGCTGGGCGAAGTTAGTTTTTATGATGCACGTGCAGAGTTTTTGTTTTGCTTACTGAGACCCCTTTTTACACGGGTCTCGACAAATTTTTAAACGGACAAAAACTTATACTGATCTGCCTAACGTTTACACGGGACCTGCGAGACCTTGCCATGAGTTTTGAACGGCAAACAGTACTGCTATCTGCAGCAGAATTTGCACGGTTCCGTGTAAACGGTTTGCATGGGAAAAAAATTGTCCATTGAAACATTTTACCGGAGCCGTGTAAACGGGATCTAAACCAATTGTATTTAAGACGTTCCCGCTGCCGTCGCCATCGTAGGCGACGGCGACGGCAACTAGAACGTCAAAAAAGCAATAGGTTAAATAACCAAAACAACAATTTTTGAGCGTGCATCACGCTTTTTTGTACATTTCCTTGCCGTCTCTGCACGACTACGACGTGAAAATGCCTCTTTTCACGTTTTACAGAGGAACTACGCAAGCGCCGACGAAGTTTCCCCCCTCTTTCTGAACTTGGATATGGTTCTTAGGATTTCAACTTTTGGAGGGTTCACCTACATTTGACAAAGTTAGTGACTTGGAGTAATCGTGATGAAGATTGAAAGAACGCGAATTCACTTTTTCAGCGACGTTTTCGCTGCCGTCGCTGTCCTCAGATCTTAATTATAAGGTCCCTACTGAGATCCCCAATAAATGGTTCCCAATAAATAGTTTTTCTTCAATTGATAGCTTGGCTGATTTCTGTTCTGACATTTCACCCGCAATAGTACTTTAAACAGCAAAAGAGTGTTCATCTACACCCGTGCTCAGTTTGTGTGAGTTTAGGTTGTGGTTTTGTTGTGGTCCACGTTTATCCGTGACTTTTTGGTGTATTTTTTTTGATTCAATAATTATTATATTTTCGACTAAGTGAAAAAACGTAAACTACAACACAAACACGACCATAGTTGACTGTGTTTTCTGTCATGCTAGGTTGACTGGTGGTATAGATAACACCTTGTTTCATTATGTGAGCTGGGATTCATTTCATGGCATTGTAGTCTGTCCGAATGATGGCGATGCGCCCACTACGGGAGGACTCGTACATGCAGAGGTGGTGAACACGTTTCAGACAACCTGTCTCTCCATGCGTAGGTTATTTTCTCCTTATTACAAGCAGGTACGTCGAAAAACCATTTTACAATAACTGAGCGATTTCTCGTGCGCTGATTTGTAGAGAGTTGGAAATGACCTCATGGTGACGCAATTTGTTGTTTTTTTCTTTCTTAAAGTGCCAGTGTATCTTATACGAGGTGTTAATAGAGGAGACTGCTACCGCTCGTACTGTTGATTTTGATTGTAATAACAGTAATGCGTATTTTGCACAAATATGCGAAAAGTGGAGCCAAATTCAAGCAATTATTGTAATATCATTTTCCCTTCAACAGCGCTTAAAGCAGAAAAATCCCCACGCACGTTTTGCATGTACCGGAGTGGAGGGTGTGGTCGAACATGGAGTGATGTTCCATCGAATTCCAGACAACGCAACTGAACAGAAGAAGTCTCCATTAATCTTCAAGTACTGGGTTATCGGGTACGTTTAGAAAGAATTCGAACTTGATATGAGGAAATAGGCAAGGTCTATTGTCATGCTACAGGAGGGAGCAGTAAGAGGTCGCCTTTTAGGATTCTTTCTTCGTATTTCTTTTTATTGCTATTTCTTTTTTCTCTTCTTCTTCTTCTTGTCGTCATTGTATATATTTGAGGTGTGAAAGAGCCGTCTGTTGCGGCAAGCTGACCAATAGGCCATTTCCGGGTTCCGCAAGCCTCTGTTTTTAAGCGAGGCCAAGTGCGAAGCCATTGATATGAAAATGAGTTTTTATTCTCATCCATAAAAACTCATTTTCCTTAGAAGGGTTTTGCACTTAGCCTCTTTTTGCAAGGTAGAGGTTTTGGAACTCGGAAATAACCTATTGAAGTGTTATTTAAAATGATTTCTCGGAGGGGAAGGAAACTGCGTTTGAAAGCATATACCAGCACGTTTACCGGTAAGTCAAATGTGAGTGATATTAAAAGCTAATTCATAATACTTTCTTCTGTTGAACCTAGACGGCTTCTACCAGGAGATCATCCGCGTGAACTGTACGTGTGTCACCACCAGTCAGTGCCTCAATCTGTGGTAGAGTTGGCCTTCAAACTGGGTTTTGGAGTTTGACCTCGGATAATATCATCTTGAACCTTCAACTCCTGTGTAGCCAGAGAACTTCCTCATCTTTAAAGCTTCCGGCTGCAGTAGTGAAGTATGCCGATATGTGGGTAAAGGATTTCCGTCGAACAGATGCACTTCACAAAATTTTGAAGTGTAAATGCTGCAGCTATTAGAATTATTATTTGGAAGCAAGATTCACAGTGAACTCATCACTTTCAGAAATGGAAAAGAGCGTTTTTGTTGTTTGAAACATTGCGAAGAAAATGTAATCATGAATTCATCTTTATTCCCACACTTGAAGTTTTTAAAAGGCCAAAAACAAAATTTATAAGGCAAATCATTTTGTAAGGCTTTCAAAATAGCGGTTCCACAAACTGCTGTCGAGTTTAAATTTTTAAGGCTACAAAACGATGCATTCCTCGCCCAAGATCAAATGAAATAAGTTTCTATGACTATGGAATAATAAGTATTCATATCGCTAAAATAAATTCATATGGCATAAAAGCATGGGATCGGCTTCCTTGGGTAAAGCAATCTGATGGTAGTGTCTCTTTCTCTTTACTCAACAGAAACGTTTATAATTGTTAATATTTATAGAAGTCCAGTTTTCATTGGCTAACGGTATGGCTTGTTGCCGCGTAAAGCACGAAAACAAATGAATGTTTTATGAAACAGTATATAGTTGTTGTTATCATATTTTTTCAATAAATTGTACGTGAAATACTTAAGGTGCATTCATTGTTTTTTCTCACGTGATATTGTTAGTTCAGTGAGGATTAACCGAATGTTTTGCATGCTATTCGCTACTTCAGAAACGAGAAGGGGACTGGAGACGAAATGTCTCGCAATTCATTCTGGGATCGTTACTGGGGACGCACCAGTCAGCAATTGGACAATTTTAGCGGAGCTCCCGCGCGCGTGGCGGAGCCCCATTGCTAAGATAAATTGGTAACCTATGAAAGCAAGAAAATTTGGTTATGACGTAGCGTACGAACGCCGACCGTCCGTACACCCACTTCATGTAAGCCGATGCCAAATGTCAGGTTATTTTGGCGGGAAAGCGTATGGCAGCCCGCGTCTTGTGAAGCAGAGACAACTAAATAGTCAGTAAAGACGAAAACGGAAAGCGGAAATTGTTTCTGTATCCTGTTGTCTAAAGTATTAAGGTTAGATTAATTGTCATATCCACAAATGTGGAAAACAGAAAAAGAGAAAGTAAGGCAACAGGCCAGCGAAGCTCAGCGAGAAAAAGAGCTAGAGCGGTCAGAGCGAGATAGAAAAAACAGAGGAGACATTTTTTGTTGGAGGAACAACATGAAAATTTGTAGCGGCGGTGAGAAAATGAGAAATGCTAGCCGCCACCTGGGTGAAAATGAGCGACAGTGGAAAAAAAGTGAACAAGAACACGTACAACATTTCCTCCATAAAATATTAAACTAGGAAGCTTCTGGAAGTTTCAAGATGTAGTCGTGCAAAACAACGGCAAACAAATGTACAAAGTGTGCTGCACGTGCAAAGTTGCTTTTTTTTCCAAATTAGACTTATGTTTGCTTTTTCACCATTCTCGTTGCCCTCGCCGCTTAGCATTACACGATTTTACATTTTGTTTGAGCAAACTATAAATATTATGGGGAGCTTCGCTTTTAGCCCTGGCTATTTAACAATTATTCCTCGAGCCCGAATGGGCTCTGATTCAATAGGCTATTGACTAGGGCTATTGACTCAGAGGCCATGAGGGCTCGAGGAATAATTGTTTTAGTAAAATCCAACTAGTCGGTCAAAAATATCGAGAATAAAAAAATTTAGCTAGTTAAAGCTACAATCAGGGACAAAAGTAGTTGACACACTTGTTTAAAACGGGTGCTTTTAACAAACATTTTATTCATTTATTATTTCATTCTTTTTAAACGCCGTAAATCCCCTCACCCCCCGAATCAATGTTGTTTGAAGTAAAAAAAAGACTTGAGGGTCCAAAATTCAACATTGATTTTGGGGGGAAGAGGTTGGGGTAGACAGGGGAAGGGGGTAAGTATATCCACTATGCAAAAAGAGGCCATTTTACGGAATTGTGTCAACACTTTTGTCCCCCATTGTAGACTTAAATCCTTTTTTGCCGCCAAAAAGCCCGCGCTTTTCGCAACGAGTCGGCTTTAACATATAGCCCAGTAGTAGCTCAACCAATCAGAACATAGCATTGATAATAGTTGGATTTTACTAAATCTATATACCATTCCCTCTCCCTAGTAACAGTCCCAGAAGTCTGCGCGAAAGTGACCTCGGCCCAGTTTTTTTTCTCGTTTCTTTAGGGGCGAGTTGAGCGTAAACGAATCCTTATGTCTTACTTCGTGCCCAGTCTCTGTACGGCGTCTGCCCAGTCCTTCTCGGCCAACGGATTCCGATGACGTATCCAAGACGAACTCACAATCTCGCTCGTACCATGTGATCCGAAACGCATAGGCTGCGCAGAATAATGAGGCAAGCTCGCTTTGACGTCCAGACAACAAACGTAGTCATCAAATTGTCAAGTAAAATACTTGATCAGTTTCATACATTTAATGAACAAAATTTCCTATCTTATTTCGATTTTAAGGTTCGTTAACTTTCCAGCTGGATATTAAACAAAACTGCACTGAACTACCGCCGCCAATAACAAGAAATGTTTGATCGAGCGTGAATTCTATTGTAAGGTGGATATATGACGTGTTGGAGCGAAACTATTTCAATATCCCGGATCTTAGACAAGAACCACTTTCGCTTTTGCGTGTAGCCGGAGGGACCGCCATTTTTGGTTAAGGCCACGATTCTTTACGTAATCTTTCGAGAAGAACACAACGGGAACGCTTAATACAGTAGGTGGTAAGTTTGCATATAGGGGAATTTAGTAGTATGGAGTTGAAAGTTACCTTTTAGAGTAATTTATCGAATCCCGGAAGTGGTGGAAGATACCGAAGCAAAACTAAAAATCGACAGCTTTTTTCGTTACTTGTGACAGATTTGGCTCTTTAAGAAGTCGAATAATGTAGAATGGTATTTACACGATAAAGTTTTTGGTAACTCTGTCGACGATTTACCCTGTATTTTCGTTAATAAGGTCTTATTAATGCAAGGAATGTTCCTCGTTTTAGCTGACTGATTATCTACTTAGGGCAAAATTAGGGCGCTTCTGTCTTGTCTCTTGGTAGAAGACTGGGGCATCAATATCCGCGAGGATATTTCTTGTATGTTCTGTGAGTTTGCATCCAAGGTTTCATGTATGCAATTGCATAAGATATGACAGAATACTGAATAATCAACGTCAAGTTCTAATCTTAGGCATGGATTTCATGCATGAGCGGCTATTTTGCAAAACACGTTTAATATACACTCTTTGAATAAGTCTGGGCGCCATCTTGAATTTTCAATGAATGACGTCATTCGCGGAAAGATCACCCACGTGGCCAAAATGGCTACTAAATATGAAAGCTCTGTTGACGTTGATTTTGCAGTGTGCTCATATAAAAAGGAATGTTTTTACTTTATATCAAGGGGAATATTTTCTTTATACAATGTCTTTATGCGTATGTTATCGTAACTTTAAAGCTTTCGAGGAAAGATATTCCTGGATCGATGATATCGAGGGCAAACGAGAGCTGATTTAAATGCAAAAAGAAGGTGCGAATTAAAGTTTTGGCTTAATCGTCGTGGCTTACGTCAACAGAGACGAGCTTAACTTCTTCCCAGGTAATCTTTTTAAGCAATGGTTTTGATACTTTTTCATTTTTTATGCGGGCCTCTATTAAAAAAAGCTGAAAACGATTAATTATTACCGCTCGTAAGAGACTTAGATTATCTATCAAAAGCTAATTAAAAGGATTTTTCATGTTGCTATTCTGATCCTTTCATAATGTACGATAATTCTATCTGGATAAAAAGTTTATGCTTTTCATCATCAGTTTTTTATGTTATTACGTATAGATTTTAGGGAAAGAACATCCTCGGAGACCCAGGGGCAGTCAGTCAGGTCGGGAGAAAAGACGGGACGAAAGTTTTCAAGTACGCGCGAAAGAGCCCCTGGGTACCGACTCTCATCGACCTATTTCCGACAATTCAAGCGCATGCCGGCTCCTGATTGGGCACAAAAAATGCTTTGTATTATTGTGCCCAATCGGCGAACAGTTTCTATTACTATTATTATTGCTTATAGCGCGCAAATTAACATTCGAATATGATCAAATGCGCGTTACATCTAAGATACCAAAAAACTATAAACAAAAGCAATAAGAAAACTATATACATCATATAAAAACTAAAAATACATCATAAAAAAAAACTAAATTACACCGTATTAAAAATAAGATAATGAGCAATTAAATTAGATAAAATTAACAGAAAGCCATGCGAAACAAAAAAGTCTGAACCTTAGTTTTAAAAGTGTTAAAACATGTCTCGTGTCTGATTTCACGAGGGAGTGAATTAAGAAGCCTGGGGGCTGCCACGGCAAACGCCCTGTCACCTAGCGTTTTCTTGGTTTTACCATTGTATGGTTCCAATAGTATCTCATTGTTTCGACGAAGCAAATATTTGCTAGGGCATAAAATGTTAACTAAATTACTAATATAATTAGGAGCTAGGCCATTAATAGCTTTAAAAATTAAAATTAACATTTTAAATTGTACTCTTTGTTTTATGGGAAGCCAGTGATCTAAGGCGCAGTAACTTTTGGCTGATTTGGTCACCAACGCTCGTACATCCTCATCAGAAAGCTTCTTGAACGAAGTCAAGGCTGATAGCTTGTCTGCTGGAAACTTCACGTCGCCAGGCACCATATCTACTGCGGATTGGTCAAGTACCACAGCATCAATTTCTGCGCCAGTTTTTGAGATTTTTCTCACTAAAAAATCACCGATAGCATTTGACAGCATAGCATCATTAGAGAAGTTTGGAAAGCAGAGTTCGCTTTTCGTATTAAGCAGTGTTTTTGCAGCCCGAAAAAGCTTACCCTGATTGTCACTATTTTTATTTATGAG